GTTTGTTTTTTTTTTTTTTTTTTTTTTTAAGTATTTTTCTGAAGAACAAGTTTCTTCGTATTTTCATTCAAAAGTGCAACGAATTTTGAATGATGTTAAAACTTCTTTTAGAATTCGGAGTAATTTTTGGAAATTGTGTTACACGTGTTGTTAACGTTAGGAAACATTACAATTACTCTTAGTAATGTAAAATAATTTTTAAATTTGTGATTAACAATATTATAATAATATTATATATTATAAATAAATCATCCTACAATATTATCTTATTCCCTGATACTATGCAAGGTTTTTGTTTCTTATATTTTCAATATAACTTATATTTATTAATATACATATATATAAATATACATTATACTATAAGTAATATTATATTAAAATATAATATATTTTAATATTTATATAGTATTTAATTTTATATATTTTATTTAATTACATTATTATTATATTAATAATAATATTTATTCATATATATATATATATATATGTTGGTTAAAATATATTATGTTAATATATTTTTAAATTATACTATTAACTTGATTTAAAAACAAAGTTTTTTATTTATTTAAATTAGCGTTTAATAATATGAATGAAAAATATAGAATAAAATATTGAATAAAATGATTTATAATAATGATAAAAGAAGATGAATAATTTGATATTATTTAATCAGACTTTCGATTACGTCAATGTCCAGTAACCACATTGTGCAATATTAGGGAAAGTGCAGACCGTCTTGATCACTATTATGGTTGCCACTTGTTGACCTGAAATGAAACTAACCGATCACTCGGACATCTTTGATGGGCAACTACCGATCACAATTATGGTGACACAAAACCTTTTCTAATAATTATAGAAGGCTAAGGTCTCTCTCTTCTCTCTCTCTCTCTCTCTTTCCCTCTTCCTCTTTCCCTCTCTCTCTCTATCTCTGTTTCTTTTAACAAATTATTTTTAGATAAATCGTTTGAACTTTTTCTAACATAATATGTTATGAACAATTGATTATAGTAGTGTTAAAAGTCAAATCGTGAACAAGAAAAAA